CAAGGCTCCGACTCCGTCTCCTGGTCTCCTAGAAACAAAATAAAGTACCGGCCCGTTCCTGGAGATGCACGCGGCCTCGATGCTTCGTTCGATCTGCAGCTGGCTCGTCGATTACCAGAGATGTCAGGTTACATCTGGCGACCCCGTTTCTTATTGTTTATTTAAATCGCAGATGCGCAACGGCCGAAATGCGCATCCGGATCGCGGGCGGGAATATGAGGTGATGTTGGAAGAATACCAAAAAAAAAAAAGAAAAGAAAAAAAGGGTTAGATGGGCTGGTGGATCGTCGAATGTGCCCCGGGAATTTGGGAACGCGAACGCTCTGAGCACCCTGGACGCCCTAGTGCCGCCTATCCATGGGTCTTTGCAGGGGAGGGCCCTGGGCGACCGAACACGCTGCAACTGGACAGGGTGGTGCGGAGGAGGCTTCGATTGGAGAGGCCTGTTGCCTTTGACACCCATGATCGTCGAATGGATATCTGACTAACATCGATACTATCTAGATCCAATTCTACATGTATTGAATCGACGATAACCTTCCGCAGTAGGCTTCCAAATCACGGGAATCATTTCGACATGATGGCATGACAGAAGGCGCTTCCTGCCCAGCTTTTGACAGCTTTAACATCTCTCCCAGCTTAAGCTACAGTTGATGAATCCGCAACGACATAGTCAACCAAGTATCCGGGTTAGGCGATTCACAGCGCAGCAAGGGCGTGGCACCACCCTGGTATGTCATCTTCATGTCTCAAATGGTCACCTGCCACAAATCTGTATGGGCACTCTCGACGTCGTAAACCAAACCCACTGCTGCCCCCGCAAGCCAACACATTTCAGCATAATCATATCGGGAGCGGCGGCTTTCTATTGGCGACAACGAATGACATGTCTCGTTCTATGGACACCCAGCCAAACTGGGCATGGGAACTTCGAATGGTAGCACGAAACGGCTGCCTTCACTTCCTCATTGTGTAACATTTGCAAGCTTATATGGATTCTCTGAAGAGCTGCGCGCCCCAATGCCAGCTGCGCTCGTCATCCATCCCGTGCGCTCCTTGATTCTTGCTCGTAAAAGATACACTGCGTCCGAGCTGTGTCACACAAAGTCGTCGTCCGAATCTTGGAAATCTTCATCTTCGTCGTCGTCTTCCTCGCTTTCGGAAACAACCTTCCGTCTGCGCCTGGTCGATCTTCTGGTCGCAGCTTTCGTTGCTTTCTTCGCCCGTGGTTTAGCCTTCACAGGCGCGGGGAGAGGCTCTGGTTCTGGCTCTGGCTCTGAAGCCTCCTCAGCGACGTCCTCCACGCCTTCCGCGCTTTCCGCGATAGGTTGATCCTCACCACCGTGATCCACAACCAGTGCATCGTTCATGTTTTCGTCGCCATCTTCGTCGTCGACGACTGGAAAGAATCCTGACGTAAACCGCTTGGGCTCGGCCTCTTCTTCTTCGTGTCCTTCGGCAAAGAAGCCGCCTGCTTCCTCCTCATCATGCCCCTCGGGGAAAAAGCCACCCGCCATCTCTTCATCTCGCACCCGCATTGCCTCTGCATCCACTTTAGTTGACTCGTCCTGGTCTTCCTTAGCTTCCTTACTCCCGCCATGCTTCTGGAAAACAGGAACGCTGTCATCGACATGGCCGTAATCCTGCCGAATGCGCTCGACAATGCGCAACCCTTTGATAAACTTGCTCCAAAGTCGCAATGCCTCTTTGCGCCGTTTCTCGTCCTCCTTGCGCGCTCGCTCAGCTTCGTCTTTGCGGATCTCTTCCATAACCTGGTCGTGGTATTCCTCCGCAATGACCACACCTTGAATGACCGGAACCGCCATTCGGTTTCCAAATTCAAAGTCCACCACAGCTTCTGCGTAGTCGATGCCAAGCCTCTTGCAAACCTTGACGGCCCCTCGGAAAGGGACGTGGACAGCACCTTCGGGACACATGTGCTCGGCGAAAAGATCGATATTGCTAGATACTGTCAGCAACGTACTTCGTAGACATAGAGAGCAACATACCCATAATCGTTCTTCGGGATGATGCCGTCCTTGATAGGCGGCGGGATGATCCAGTCCGTCTGTTCAAGACTGTACAATCCCTGAAGAACCTTCTCGCCGCTGATGGCTTCCGCCTCCGCGATTTCTCGGCGTCTGTTGGTTGTCGCGGCGCGGTACGGCACTCGCTTGAGGGGCAGTTCACCAGGCTTCGGTGCTCTGCCTTGCTTGTGCCACGTCTCTGCGCTCTTGACGTTGACGACGTCCTTTCTCGAGAAAACTGGCTCTTCCGATATGTCCCCGCCTTTGCCTTTGTTTTTGAAAGTCTTGACAGGTTTTGACCCAGGTAAGAGTGCTTCTTCGCGCTTGAGATGCCGCTCCAAACAAAACTCCTTCGACTGCTTGTAATAGGCTAGGGTTTCACTGCCCTCCTTAACCTCCTTCTTCTCGGGTTGGGCCGGAGTCAAGTCAGTTGTGTTCTCGGCCTCGTCCTCCTCTGTAAGGGGGTGTTTTCGACTGCCCCTAACGAATCCTTGCATGGCAGACTTGAACCAGTCGAAATGGTCATGTCGCTTTACCTTGCCATGGCGATTGTAAATAGGTACTTTCTCCAAAGGCATTCTTGCTCCCTTCGTCCTTCCCGGCCACAATTGTTTTCTGAGATAACGAACGGTGACGTCCTTTGCTGTTCCATCCTGGGAGAAGCCGACAACGTACGCCATTACCTCCTTGGCCTTGTCTGCCTTGCCTCCGCGGGGCTCCAGAGACTCAATCAGCTCTCGGTTGGTACCAATGATATTCTTGACGATCGGGTCGACCGGCAGATATTTCTTCGTGACCGGTGACATGACTTCCGTCCAATAATGTGGAAACTCTAGGTCGTTGTCAAACTTCTTGGATGGAGCCGTTTTCCGAGGGGTTACCTCCAATTCTATAATAGAATCGTCGTCGCTGTCAGGATGCTCTAACCCAAGTTCATCATCTGTATCAGGCACCTCGATGACGGTCTTTTTCTGACTTGCGTGTCTCGAACTTGTCGTTTTGGATGGAGTCGCTTTCTTGGGTGCTGTTTTCGTTCCTTTCTTAGTGCCTTTGTTCGTCTTTTCACTTTCTTGACTCTTCTCGTCGCTGCTCTTAGATGTCGAGACTCCAGCCTTGTCCTTTTCAGGGTCAGCTTCCTCAGCCTTCGTCCATCCAAAACCAAGTGGCTGCAAGTTTGCAACCATTCGGGCCTCGAGTCCCAGGGCCCTCATTAGAGCCGTGAAGAGCTGAGATCCTACATCTCGGCTTCCTGTGCAGTCCTGGGCGCATCGCCGGAAGTCCTCCAAGCCGCAGATCCTTTCCCCGAACCGATTTTGGTCGTGATCCTCGCTCTCCCACGCCTTTCTCAGTCTGCCAACTCTTTCAGGGTGCATGTAGCCCCACTTCCGGATCCCGGGTGCTGTGATACGGAACCGTTGCCTCCACCACGCCACCAGCGACTTCATAAGTCGGAACAGCGGGTCGCCGTGGCTCATATCAACAGCCCCCTCTTCGAGCTTCTCTGCAGCGGCACCCCAGTCTCTCGAGTCTTTCTCTTCGGTCTTCTTTGCCTTGCCTCTGCCCCTGGTCTTCTTCACCGGCGTGGGTTTCTTCGTCGGGGTTGGCTTGGATTTCGGCTGCGCATCCAGCCCACTGGTTCTCCTCCATCGGTCCACCTCATCCCATAGACGAGGGGGGACGTGTGACATCATGATTGCCTGAACTTCGGGGTCGCAGAGCCAAGAATTCCGGACAGCATTGTGCCATAGCAAGTACTGCACGTGAATGCAGTGCGTGACATTTCTGATCTTCTTTTCGCGCTTGGTAGGCCCCTTTTTGTCGCCGTAGGGATCTGTCGTAGCGCCGAAACCAGCATCCAGAGTGAGTTGCAAGTCGGTGAATCCTGTCGGCGCCTTGGCTAGGGTGTTCTTCGGAGCAGGAACGTCCTCGAACTCGATGTCGTCGTTATCGTCATCGTCGGACGGCTCGTTTGCTTCCCCCGGCTTCTGTCCATCGCCAACAGGAACATCCTCGAAATCTCCGTCGGATAGATCGGTCAGTGAGCTGTCCCCGTCGCTGTCGCTCAACACCTCCAAAACAGAACGGCCACCTTTGGATGACTCCGGCGTGGCAGTAGCATCCAGGTCATCGTACAGGGTCGGTTTTCGGCGTGCACCCGAAGCGGCAGGCTTGCCTTTGCCCTTCGCCACCTGTTGACGTTTAGGACTCGACTTGACGGGCGACTCCTCGCGCAATCGCTTGCGCGGCACGTGTGGAGGCATCGTGCGTGGTGGTGATGAGAGGTTGAGAGCTGGCCATGCTCCGAGGATGGGAGCTCGAGAAGCTTTGCAGGGGAGATGCGACAAAACGGCAGCAACTGCGTCATTGATTTGCAGGAAACGCGAAGAGCGCGACGCACTTTAAGGGTCCGGGATCCACTCTATCGGGTCCGATTGAAAAGCGGGTCCGGGGATCACCCCTCCTTATTGCCGTTACCTTGCCTGTATGTCAGGTACAAAGTAGTGGATGTCTTAAGGAGCCGATCTAAATGGCCAATGAAGATAGGATGATATCCAAGAACAATGGCCGAATTTCTTTAGCTCCGTGTGGATTCTTCCATCATCCTGCAAAGTACACAGAAGTCAGCCCCAGTGCCCTGTAGCGTCCAGCCTGGCCACGTCCTTGGCAACGGTTATGGGCCACCCCCATTTCAGGCTTCCAGCGGCCGCGCGCTCTGTACTTGGCGTCTGCGCTCACCCGCCTCAGTGGCTGCCCCGCTGAAGGCAACCAACGGACCAACACTGACCAAGTCCCGCAAGCTGGCTCTTTCCAGACCATACCGCCGCCATTTCTCAGCAACATCGCCGTCGCCATATCGCCATCTCGCTCAACTCAGCCTCGAGCCACGAAATCCGAGGTCTACGTACTCCAGACGAGCTCCAAGCACCCCGTTCACCGCAGAATAAATATTCGACACAGACGTCATCGCTCACAATGGCGTCCTCATCCAATTCCGACGAGACGAGCTACGTCAAGATGGACGACTCCAAAGACGGCTTCGACGAGACCCTCGTGGGCAAGCACTGCGAATACGACTACTGCAACCAGCTCGACTTCCTCCCCTTCTTCTGCCAGAGCTGCAAAAAGACCTTCTGCCTCGACCACCGCTCCGAGTCCTCCCACAAATGCGCCAACGCGGGCGCCTGGGCCGAGCGCCGCCGTCAAGCCGAGCTCGCGAAGCCCGCCTACGGCGCCGGACGCCAGTTGCGCGACCACGTTTCCGAAAAGCCTTGCGCCTCGCCCCCCTGCAAGACCACCATCGGCACTTCGTTGGTCCCCGGCGTCCACTGCTCGGGCTGCAACCGCGACTACTGCCTCAAGCATCGCTTGAAAGAGGACCACGATTGCAAGAACCTTGTGCCGCTTGGCGCCCGACCCGGCTCGCAGATTGATGTTGCCGCACGGACGAGAAGCGCATTTGATAAGTTGAAAGCATGGGGAACGGCGAAGAAAGAGCAAGCAGGAAGGGCACTGCCGAAGCCAAAGCCTACGTCGGCATCGGCACGGCTGATTGCTGTGAACAACCTGAAGAAGACGGCCAAGGGCGATGATAAGCTGGCGCAAGAAAAGAGAGTCTATCTTTACGTCGAGGCCGAGGCGGAGACTGCCAAGGCCAAGTTTCCAAAGGGAGAATTCTTCTTCTCCAAGGACTGGGTCGTTGGAAGAGTGCTGGACGAGGCAGCAAGGAGATTACAGGTCGAGAACGTGAACAACCGGTCATCAGACGAGAGGGACAAGCTGAGAGTGTTCCATGTAGAGGGTGGCAGGTTGCTGGAATTCAATGAAAAGGTCGGGGCTTCACTGGTCAGTGGTAACACGGTCGTGCTGTTGCGCGGAGTTGGCCCGCCGCCCAACTTGATGGAGGTTTAACGACGATGATGAATGATGAAGTGTGTTTATAGAAGCCTTTTTCCGTATATACCCTCAGTTGCACCACACGCCATAGAGGCTACGCTATACCTGGGCCAATACCATAACCATGGGAGATTTCAAATGCGCCGAGCCAGTCAATGAGTTGAATAAGTGTTCCGGTCCAATCCATACCATGCTACCCCTCTTAACGCCGGATCTAAAGTTCCTTCTCCTTGGGTCTCTTCGCCAACAAGTCTTCGCGGCCTGTGGCGGGCGCGTCACCAACGGCATCCTTGCCGCCATATGTCTCAAAGCCCTTGTGGAAGATCCACTCCACTGCGTTCTCGACAGGCTCGTCAAAGAGGCTGGGCAGGAAGGGAACGACAGCCAGGCCAAGGCCAATAGGGCCCCAGGTTCTAACCCTGGCGTTCTTGACGTTCTTCATCGCCCTGCCAGAGTAGCGCACTACGCTGTGGATCGTGAAGGCCGGCAGACCCATACTAGCGATGCTCTGGAAGATTCCTCGCTGTACCATGACGGTTCTGTAGTCGTCCAACGGCGCAACCTTGCCACCGGGGACGACCTGGCTGGGGTGTGTGGCATCTGAGATGGCTTCCGGCAATCCCGTGATCTTCGCTTGCCTCTCGGTAAGTTGGAGGTGAGGGTTCAGGATGCGCTGGTTCGCCCAGTACGCCTTGTAACCTTCGTAACTGACATCACCTAGGATGTACAGCCATGAGATACCATATGCGCCACGGACAAGATAGGGATGCGCAACAGGACGAAACGACTCGCCAATGTCAGAGGTGTAGGCGACGTATCGGTGCGCAGACAGTAAGATGGTGCGGACGCGCGTGGCGTATGCCATGTAACGAACGTTGGACTCGGTAGACTCGGGTGCGCTGGAGAAGACATCAGCAGGGCTATCGGGAGGAATCGAGGGCACGTACTACCCGTCCACTAATTCATCGAAGAAGTTTTCCTCCTTGTCGGATTTGTCGATAATGTTCTGCAGGGCTTTTGGCAGCTTCTGCCTCGGGGGAAGCTTTTCGGGGTCGAAAGTCTTGGCGCCATTCTCGTTGTTGGTCGCCTCTTTCGACTCCTCGGGCTTCTTGTCTGAGCTGCGACCCCACCACATTGTGATCGATTGCTTGTGTTGGTATACTTCGTCTGAATCAGAAATCTTCAAAAGCAAATGGAGGTGTTGTCAGCCTTAAGTGCGCATGGATGGCGGCGGTTGGGGTGAGGGGAGCCTAGGCGATGGCAACCACCACTTTTCCATGCGCGCGCCGGAAACGCCCGCGGCATCAACCTTCTGGTCCAATGTCGGGAAGTGACGTCGGCTTCGCTTCAGCGGGTTAGCACCTTCCTGGGGTGCATGGGAGCTTGCGCCACTCTAATCTGTGGCTGTATCACCCGGCGTTAGCTGTGGCTGAACTCCCCGCTCTCCTAGCCGCGCCAGACACTGGACCCGTCTTGAAATGGCCTGATATACCAGGCATTCGACTTTTCGCAGCTTCCGAACGAATTTCGAGCTCCGAACATTGAGCCGCTATTGCAGTTTCAATCATCACCATTCCACCCTCATCGAACCAATTCACCTCCGAAGGTCCGAATACCCCCCTAATACCGCCAAAATGGTTCAGATGTACACTGTCGCCGGCCGCCAGATCGGCTCCCACTACGTACGTTGCACCTCCGACTTCGCCCGCCGCTCCCTGCGACGCCTTCGGCCGACCTGCAATACATGAAGATGCTGAACGACTGCTAACATGGGCCAACTTACAGCTGGCCATGGGTGTTCTTGCCACCCTCTTCGGCGGCGCTATCTACGGCACCAGCGGCGGCAGCAAGGCCAACAAGGCCACTGCCATTCCCCCCATCAACGCTGCCAGCTCCGACGAGGCCGACTTCATCAAGTGCGTGATTTTGCCTGGACGTTTCGAGGCCCTGCGATTGCTGACAACATGCACAGGAAGTTCTTGGACAGCGCTGACAAGGACGAGAAGGCGAAACACTAAACGGCGGGCAATCGGACGAGTCATTGGTCTATCGCGACCTAGTGTATTCATAGAGAGCGGACCTTGGTCGACGGGAATCAAAGACATTTTCTGACCAGACATACGACGATCTACGATGTGGGCATTGTTGCCTTGTTCCATGTGGTCGGACACGCCTCGATAGCAGTATTCGAGGAAGCGTCCCTGATCTACCACGGCACCATCCTGAACTCACCCTGCTCGAACTCCCAGAACGTCCCAGGCTCAGTGACCCCCTTTTCTGATTCCAGCAAGCGCACGATTGCCTCTGCTCCGTCAATTGGATCCTTCACCCCGCGGAAGTTGTTGAAGGCCGTCTTGCAATGCCCTGGACTAGTGGCCCAAAAGACCACCCTGTGCCCCTCTTGCCTCTGTTCTTCAGCAAGCTGAAAATGCAAGGTCAACATGTTGAGCGCCGCCTTGGCCACGCAGTAATCCACGAGTGAAACTGGCGGAAGCTGCAATGCCCATCAGCTTGAAGCACCCCAACAGTTCTGGTTACTGTGCGCTCACCTCTCTAGATGCTGTGCGTGTGAGGCTGCCCCTAGCACTGGAGTTCATGATGACTCGTGGATACTCGGCTTTTCGAAGCAAGGGCAGGAAAGCCTGGGTGACTATCGCATTTGACGTGATGCAGTTGTTGTATACAGCATTTGATTTTGACCGAATCTCGGAAAGTTCTGCCGAATCAGCAACCTCTAACTTGGCAGCATTGTTGATCAAGACTGCAACAAATCAGTATATTGGTTCAGAATGAAATTCTCTGGGGAGAAATACCGTCCAGCTTCCCATGTTTCTGATCAACAGTTGCGACAGCAGCAGTGATGCTAGCGTCGTCCTCGATGTCTAGTTGAAGTACATCCAGATTCGTTTTGACACCGAGTCTTTTGAGTTTTGTCACAGCTTCATGCCCGGCCACGGTTGAACGGCACCCGATGATCACAAGAGAATCTGGAAGCCGTTCGGCTATAGCCTGGACTATCCCAAAGCCAATGCCTCTGTTACCTCCGGTGACAAGGATTGTAGCCATACTGGACGAAGTTAAGGATATTGGCTTTCACTGGAGCAAAAGCCATGGGGGAATACCAATCAATAAATAATTGTATCAATCATGCTCAATGAGACTATTTACCCCGGACTTAATGATATCCTGTCCGCAAAGCCGACATTAAGTTTATCGGGGTGGCGGGTGTAATCCCGACACGGCGCCGGCGCCCACTAAATCGAGACCCGGCCGTCTCCACCCCGATTTACACTGTTTGCGCTCCCTTCGACTGCACAAAGCCAACTTCACCAGAGCAAACACCAGGCAGAGTAGGTGTAGCGATGGCAACAGTCAAGGCGACGGGTATCAAACCCGAGACAACGCCGATAGAAGTAAGCTCACGACTCGGCCAAATTAACAATCTCATCCGTTCCAGCCGCTGATGGTCTTACTCACGCTACTTACATTAGATCAGAGATCGCCGTAACCAAGCGCCGCCCGGCTATTCACAACCCAGCAAGGTGAACAATCAACACCATCGACAGATCGACCTGCTAACACTTACTTCAGTCTGACGTATCCGTCATCCAATACGATTCTGCGCTGGAATCCATCATCGGCTCCAAGCCCACACACGCCCTACTCCTTTCCTCTGCAGAAGGCACTGGCAATGCGTTCTTTCACCGCGGCTGCGTCTACAACCCCTCCCGCAATGAGCTCTGGACGACCTCCGCACCCCTCGCGGCAACCGACCCCTCAAGGCCGCCAACGATCCTCATGTCCAAGGTGACGATCACCGCCTCTCCGCGCGGCGATACCCTGACCGCCGAGTGGGCCAAGCTCCGGCCCCCGCCCGCGATGTCGATGCCGGCCAACGGCTGTCTTGCAGCCAACGGGATTCTATGGTGCTCCCAGGGAACGATGCATCCCGGGACCGGAGGCGTGTTCCACATGCCCGCGGGGCAGCCGCCGAAAGCCGTGGCCACGACGTACTACGGCCGCGACTTCAACTCGCCTCACAGCGCGGCCGTCTCTGGCGACGGCGTGTGGTTTACGGATCCGTGTTGCGGGCACGAGCTCGATTTCAGGAGCCCGCCGCAGCTGCCGCCTTCGGTGTACTGGTACGACCAAACGGCGAGGGAGGTGAGGGCCATGGCGGATGGCTTTGTGAGACCAAGTGGAATTGCGGTCGATGAGGCGTCGTCGACGCTTTACGTTGCGGATGCTGGAGGAGTAAAGGCTGATGGGAGTCTGGATTTGGTGCAGTAAGCGTCACGTCTAAGGTGGTCTTGTGGTGAATGTGGCTAACATGAGGAACAGACCGAGGAGCATCTACGCATTCGACATTGTGAAAAGAGGGGACGCAATCTTCTTGGCGAACAAGCGTTTGTTTGCACTGGCTAGGAGAGGTTCACCTATACATCTCATGTGCGAGAACGGCAACGTCTGGGCAGCCTGTGGTGACGGCATCGAGATTTGGAACAACGGTGGCTCATTACTGGGTTTGATCAAGGTGGCAGGTGAGTAACTATACTCCAAAGATCATTGGCATGAAGCAAGATATCTGACTATGTTTGAAAAGGTGGCGTACAGAGTTTCTGTCGAGGGCCAGATAACACGATGTTCCTCTGTGCAGATCAAAGACTATGGCGGCTTCAGTTCTCTACCACTCAGAGAAATGCGTCTCCAGAACTCTTGTAGGGTAGCAAGATATTCATGTCCAACATAGAGCGACTCTGTGCCTGTCGTCCCTTTCATTTCTTTCGTGCTCACCCATCCGAGAAGTTGGGAGCATTAGCCTGCATCCAAGCAATCGGTTACTCTGCCCCCATGCCTCTCCCAAACAGACTAAGAAGGGCGCATGCGGCGCAGCAAAGTTACATCGCCCAATCAAATCATTTACAGTTTGAGTTGCCTCACTCATTTGCGTTTGCCCTTGCCGAAACCCCTGCAAATGTGGGATTTTTGGGTTTCAGCTATACTACTACCCTAAACGTTAATTAATATTATTGTTTTTGTTGTTTTTGATTAGTTTACTAGTAATTAATACTATTCGTATTAATTTATTTATATCTTAACGTTATCTATAGCTCTAGGAACTATATAAAGCGTAATATATATATTTAGGGGTAAGATCTTATTATATATAATAGTACTAGTTTATAAGTCCTTATAAACTTAAGATTTATTATATATATTATAAGATCTAATATAGTATAAAAGTATAATATATATATATACTAGTATAATATATAATTAACTATATAATAGCTATAAAGAAGTTATTCCCTCTTTTATTAGCCTTTAAAAGGATTAAGCTAAAGTTTATAATACCTTAATATACTTAATTAAACCTAAAATATATCACTTTTAAGGAATTAAGCTAATCTTAGTTACTAATACCTATAAGGTTATCTATAAGGTTAATAACTATTAGAAATAGATATAAAAGTATATTTTTATATAGTAAGAGTTCTATAAACTTATTACTAATAAAAGTAAATATAAACTTATATAGCTATATTTAAGGAAGTAGTAGCGTTTATAAGCTAACTAGAACTTAAGCTTATATATTTTTAAGTAAACTATATATAATTTTTATAAACTAAGCTTTAAATACTTTCTTAACTAAGATACTAAATAATATAGATAATATTAATATAGAAGATAATATAGATTAAAAAAAGGAGGTTAATAATAAAACTAAGGAGGAAGAAGTATTTATTTAGTATAAGATAATTAATATAATAAGTTTAAAAAACCTTAAAGATATTAGATCTATAGAAGAAGAAGAAGTTAAATTATACTAAAAGAGGTTTATTTTTAATATTACTAATAAACTTTTTAACTCTAAAGAACTTATCTTACTACTTAAAATTCACTAGTTTAAGATTCTTATTTAATTTAAAGTTATATTTCTTCTTAGTTTTAAGTTAAAGTTTAGCTTTAATATTTATACTTATATATTTAAAACCTATAATTTTATTATTAAGCTTATAATATAGTTTAACTATAATATTATAGAATAACTACTAAAGAAGTTTAATTATTTATATAAAGATTATTAGGTTACTATTAAGGATATAAACTTATCCTATAAGTTTAAATAAGAAG